ACAAATTAGTTCCTGTCCATGTTTAGATGTTTTTGTGTCATGATTGTGGCACATTTTCCTCCACTGTATATGTTAACAGCTGACATTGGAAAGCTATAAATAATTTTGGCAATAATGATAATTATAACTTTGTATGAACTTCACAAGTACAAGTTGAGTTCTGTGGCAGATTGTCTGATTTGGGGCTATATAGTTCTTTGTTTACTGATACATATTTTACATAGATGTGTTCATTTTCTTCTAGGTGGAATGTTCCAGTTTGTTTCAGCTCCTAATTTCTTTGGTGAGACATTGGAATGGTGTGGTTGGGCATTGGCATGCTGTACATTGCAGGCAGTGGCTTTTGCATTTTTCACAGCATGCAATGTTGGATTGAGAGCATGGCAGCACCACAGGTAAGCAAAGTTGATAATATGTCAAGCATACCTACCATATGGTAAATATACAGGTAAATATAGTTACTCACAAAGCATAGTTATTCTTCAAGTATACACAGCATATATGGCAGTAACATGGATAAGCACAGTTACTCTCCATGCATAGCTAGCATATGACAGGACTACAGGTAAACACAGTTAATCTCCAAGCATAGCTAGCATATGACAGGACTACAGGTAAACACAGTTAATCTCCAAGCATAGCTAGCATATGACAGGACTACAGGTAAACACAGTTACTCTCCAAGCATAGCATGGCAGTAATACTGATAAACGCAGTGTGATCTACCATAGCAACAAGACAACACAAGAGCAATATTTGCTAATAATACTGATAGTCAATCAATCAGTGACACGACTGTTGTAAATTATAAAGAACAACATCAAATATTGTCAAATATTCATTGTCAAATACTGTTAGAATTGTAAGATGTCATATTGTTTGTTATATCTAAATGGTATGTACTAAATTACAGTGGAATCTAGTAGTCATGTCATACTGAAGCTTATTTTTTGTTATTTACAGGTTTTATATTGAGAAGTTTGATGATTATCCGAAGTCAAGAAAGGCTTTCATCCCATTTGTATTTTAGTAAACAACTTTTTGTATGCTTGTGAACATGGCTTTATACTGTTGATTTAATTTAAGAAAGAGTTGTCATGACTATGTGAAAAACATTCATTTTTGATCCATTGATGATATACCAGTATAAATTCTATCACATACCTCGTTTTGCCTGGCCAACTAATGTTATGGGAAATGTGCCTTTGCATTAGGGCAATAATATCCCATATCATGCCTGGCACATCCCATTTGTTTTCCATCAAAACATAACCTGTCATTCTAAATTACGTCGCATGTTTGAGGTCACACTGTGGTAAAATTGTGATTACACCAATAAGGTATATGATAAAACTTTATGGACTGGATACAGCTTTTGTTGCCCTTCGTCGTATGGCTTATGTGTCACACTTCGACCTTTGACCACAAAAGCCGTATCCAGTCCATAAAAATTAATGTAAGTTTTCACTTAACTGGTGATTAAATACACTCATCATTTTTTTCTACACAACCTTCACAAGCATGCCCTAAAAAGAGTTGATGACAAGTCAATTAAAAATCAATCAAGTGAAAATACAAATTGCAGTGCATGTGCATTATGTCTAGTTTTTATACACAACTTCAAACAAATTTGGTCATGGCATATCCGATAAATGACAAATAAAAAAAATCAAATCACAAAACAGTATTTGTATGTGTTGGTGTGGTATTGCTGGCTACAAGACACTCCCCTATTTAGATTGGTATTGGTTTAGTGTTGGTTTACAGATGGCAAAATTGTTTGAGCACATGGTACGATTACTTGGGGAGTTGCTTTTTATTTGGATATGTAGTCTTGATTCTCCAGCAAAGGACTATG